GTTCATATGACCCCAGATCTTGGGTCTCGGGTTTTTGACAAAGCAACAGAGATTGGAATGATGAGTGAAGGATATGTTTGGATAATAACTGATGGGATGACTAATCTTTGGAGTTTGATTCATCATTCTGATCATATGGATTCCATGCAGGGTGTGTTGGGTGTAAGGAATTATGTTCCGAAATCAAAAGAGTTGGAGAATTTTAAGGTAAGATGGAAAAGCAAATTTGTGCAAGATAATCCTAGTATGTTAAATGCTGAATTAGACAATTTTGGATTATGGGCTAATGATGCTACATTTGCACTAGCCATGGCAGTGGAGGAGGTACTAGGCACCGTAAAATTCAACTTTGATGCATCAAATCTTGAATCTTTTGGCCGGATTTCTCAAAATGGTCCCAAACTCATTGAAGCTTTGTCAAATATGAGATTTAAAGGCATTAGTGGAGAATTTGGGTTTGTCAATGGGCAACTAGAGTCCCCAATTTTCCAGATTTTTAATGTAAATGGAAATGGTGAAAAGGGGATTGGGTTCTGGACGTCAAAGGACGGACTAGTTAAAAGACTGAACTCCACTCCTAATGCTAATCTTGGAACCATCAGATGGCCGGGGGATTCATATTCCATTCCTAAAGGCTGGGAGATTCCGATGAATGGGAGGAAGTTGAAGATTGGAGTGCCGGTGGTGAGAAAGGGATTTGAGGAATTTGTCAAGGTAACATGGGATCAGAAGACTAATTCAACTTCTTTCACTGGAAGTTGCATAGATGTCTTCAATGATGTCATGAAGGTAATGCCATACCCCGTCCCCTACCAATTCTATCCCATTCAAATGGAAAAGGATGAAAGCGTCAATGATATAATCGATCAAGTCTTTTTTGGGGTTAGTAATTTACCATTTGAGTTTATATTTAATTCATCATCTTTTAGTTAACAAGCCTACTTTGGATTTCTTAATTAATAATAATCTTGGTGTACAGAAGTATGATGCGGTTGTGGGAGACATTACTATTGTGGCAAACAGGTCATTGTATGTTGACTTCACATTACCATTTATGGAGTCCACAGTGGTGATAGTAGTGCCTATAAGAAATAATACAAACAAGAATACATGGGTGTTCTTAAAGCCTTTATCGAGCGACCTTTGGATCACCAGCTTTTGCTTCTTTGTCTTCATGGCATTTGTTGTTTGGGTTCTGGAGCATAGAATCAATGAAGATTTCCGTGGACCACCTTTACATCATGTTGGAACTAGCTTTTGGTTCTCTTTCTCGACCATCACCTTTGCACACCGTAATAATCCTAGCCTTTCATATACTCAAGCTTTTTGGGAAAAATAACAGAGTTGACGAGTTCAACTTAACTTAATTACACTTTTAGTTTCATACATATATTAGCTAATTCTGTTTTTGCGTTTTCAGGGGAGAGGGTGTTGAGCAATCCAGCTAGGATTGTGGTGGTCATATGGTGCATTGTGGTATTCATTCTAACGCAAAGCTACACGGCCAACTTAACCTCTCTTTTAACAGTTCAACAGTTGCAACCAGCTGTGACTGACATAAATGAGTTATTGAAGAATGGGGAGAATGTTGGGTACCCACATCACTCTTTTATCGAGGAAATAGTCCAAAGGTTGACATTTGATCGATCCAAGATGAAGAAATTTACTTCATTGGAAGTTCTTCATGAACTGTTTACTAATGGAAGTATTGCAGCTGCTATCGACGAAATTCCTTATATGAACTTGTTTCTGACTAATAAAAGCCATTGCAACAAGTACACCACCCTGACAGAACCTACTTTTAAGACCGACGGCTTTGGATTTGTAAGTTCTCTTTCCTTCTTAGCCCTTTCATTGTTCTTAATCAAGTTGATTTAATCTCTAAAATAAATTTGTAATTAATAGGTCTTTCCAAGAGGTTCTCCCCTTGTAGCAGATGTTTCAAGAGCAATCCTTAACGTCACTGAAAGCTTTAGAATAGGGGATATTCAAAATGCATGGAAGAAACAAACCAATTGTCCTGATTCAAGCACCTTGGATTCTACAAATAGTCTGAGTCTTGGAAGCTTTTGGGGCCTTTTCCTCGTTGCGGGGTTGACCGGTGTATTAGCTCTTGTCTACTCTGCAGCGGAGTTTCTATATGAGCAAAGGGATGTGTTGCGCAAGTGTGACCCGAGAATTTCAATATGGAATAGAATTCTTCAAGTATTGCGAAACTTCGACCATAGAGACCTGACCTCGCATACCTTCGGGCAGCGTGGATTAAGAGAGGAAGATAGCAATATTGAAATCATTCCAGTTAGAGGTGCTGTTGAACACCCCGTTGAGATCCATGTTGAAGCCCCTGTTGAGATCCCTGTTGAAGCCCCTGTTGAAAACCCTGATGATAAAAGTGGCGCAGCAACATCCGAGGAAATAGAAATTCATCATGCTAGCACAAACAGCTCATGAAAAGCTTAGCTCAATAACAGTAACAACACTAGTGTGGTTTCTAATCTTTTATATGGGTTTTCATCCAAGTTAGGCTTTTGTATTGGGTTGTGTTTGTATGTTATGCACAATATATAATTGTAGTAGTTGTAATCTTTAGTATGTATGCATGTACTTCACATAAAATTAAAACATATGCATCCAAATTAAGAAATAAATTTCTTATTGGTTACGCTACAAACTCATTTACAATGGTTAATAGTTTATTGAGAAGTGTTAGAATATTAGCATTGATTCTAAAATATCAACATTTATAATATATTAATATTTTCACATCATAATTGATTCTATACATTTAATTTAATTTTGTATTTAAAAATTTTTATTAAATAAATCTATATATAAATTAACAAAAACACAATAAATTTTTCTTCATATATTTCTCTTTTTTAAGTTTCTAATATAATATCAAAATTATAAACCCCTGGTTGTTTCTTCTTTTTCTACAATCATTATTCTATTTAGGATTCATTAATGCAAACGAGCTCGATTGAGTTTTTCAGCGCTTTGTTTTGTTGGTGGTTCTGGTTCGATCTGGTTTGATTTGTTTTGGTTTGGTCTGATTTAGTTTCTGTTGGTTCATTTTCTATTAGTTTGTATCAATGTTTTTGGGCCCGGTCGGTGGTTGGCCCATTTTGACCACCAAGTCCGGATCAACCAATTGAATCGGTTCATTTGATTGGTTCAACTGATCAACTAAAAAAAAGCTTTTTGACATTTTTAGTGAATTTTACTTCTGCTACTGGTGCTTCTGGTCAGTGAAGCAGGAGAAGAAGGTAGCAGTAGAGGAGATGAGGAGTAGAAGGCAGCTGTTGTTTAATGAAGGATGAGGAAGATTCTGAATCTCTGATTTCTGTTGCTGCTTTTGTTCGGTGAAGTAAGAGAAGAAGGGCAGCAATAGACGAGATGAGGAAGAGAAGGAGGGCAATGACGGAGGAGATGATCTGTTATGATGATTTGCTCAGTGGAGGAGATGAGGTGGACGAAGATGATTTGTTCTATTTTGAACAGAACAAATGAGGCAGATGAGGTAGATGAAGACGATCAGCGGAAGAGAAGAAGGGCAGACAATCAGCTTCATTGACAGCATCCCTTTCCTTTTGTTTTTGATTGCCTTATTGGAAACTAGTGTGAACTAGTGTATTTTTGAGTTTGACCCTCGCCTAGACCCCATTCGAGGAGATGCATTGGAGCAAGATTCTTGCCCTTCGAATAGGAGAAACCCTATCCATCGGTGTCATAACCCAATTTTTAGTAGGGGCTAAATGATAAAGTTAAAAATCTATGGACCATTGTTGTAAAAATAGGAAACTTGAAGGGGTGAGGGGAAGAGTTAGCGAAATGACATCATTTTGCTTGAAGGTTGAAAAAATAAAAAGGGAGTTGGGTTCAGATGAACCCTAGCCCTCACTTTCACGATTCTTCTTCCTTTTGCCACTAGTCACTCTCCCAAAATTCCCAAAATTCCCAAATTCCTTCGGCTTATCCCTACATCTACTTGATTTTGGATAAAATACTATAAAGAAATATCTGAAATCACAGAAGAAGATTTCAAAGTCGATTCCAATTGGGAGTCCTGATTTTCAAGAGGTATGAATCTAACCTTGAAAGAGTGAAGATGTGTAAAGAACTGAGCTAGTTTTAGAATCCCAATTTCGAATAGGACTAGATTATCATTTGTAATTATAGGGATTTGGATTAGGATTTAGAATTAGAAAGGGATTTGAGCTCTCTTCATTTCTGTATAAAAAGGGGCCTTCAGCTTTATAAGGGGGCATTCAAAAAATTGAGAGAAAGGGGGAAAGAAATCTGAGAGCCAACAGAGAGAGTGTGAAGCAAAGGAAGGAAGAAATCTTGTATTTTAAAGTTTGCAGCAAATAAATAAAATTGGATTTCTCTACTTCTTCATGTCTGTTTTTTTTCCTTTCTTTGTGATGGGTAATTGCGTGGTTTTTTTTTTTTTTTTTTTAGGTTGTTTCTTTTCGTGGTTTGTCTGCAATTGATCTGGAGGAAGAAAATATCTATTTTTTGTAGCCTTTAATATTTTCATTCATTTTCCACCTGTTCTGCTCGTCAAGTTGTAGCCCTTCATATTTTCTTTCTTCATTTATTCTGTTCGTCACTTTGCGTCATTACCAATATGGCTGTTTTGTCTTTCATTTGTTTTCTTCAATTAAATTAGATTATTTTTTTTTCTTTTCTTCAACTAAAAAAAAAAAAACGAGAAGAGAGCAAGGAGAGGAAAAGTGCAGGAAAAAAAATAAAAAAGAAAACCGAAACGAACAGAAAAAAAAATGAAGACAAAAAAAGAAATCAAAAAACAGAAACAAAATAAAAAGAGAAAAATAGGAACGGGAAAAGTCAATGAGGTGTTTTAATTGAAGTTTTTTGTGTTTATTTTTCTTGTTAATTATTATTTATTTTTATAAAAATAGAAAATTTTCAAAATTAAAATATGTGGTAGCCATATTTATATGTAAGTTGTGAGATGCCTAACACCTTCTTCACACTTAACCAACCTTTTGATCCTAGTCAATTTTTATGTAGATTTTGGTGATCTATCCCACCTTCTTTGAATAGATGGTGACTCCATCCATTTTGGTACGTCAACAATCAACAAGAGCAATTCCCTTGGTATTCTAGTCACAGCCTTTTGAAATCAATAATAGATGTAAAACTAGTCGACCTCTTAGGATGCCAAAACACTGTAAAACCTAAATATGTTGTTGCATTATGGTCCCTTGGGTTGGAGTTTCCAAAGCAAGGTAGTCGACTAAGATGAAGGGAGAGATCAAAAGGAGGAAAGTAGGGGTAAGAAGAAAGAAGGGACGAAGGAACCCCTCAACCAAAAAAAAATCCTAGGGAGGAAACCCATTGCCACCCTAGGAGCAATTGCCACGCCCCAAAACCCGAATTCGAGGCACGACAGATGCCGTGCACTCCTGAGAGGGTCCCACAAATGCACAAGGCTCGGAACTTATCATATCATAAATCTCCAATAAAAATCCAGTTTACAAGATCATGATCTATATCTAAAATCTATATCAATCTCGAAATGGCTAGCTTTCTAACTCGTCACTTCCCGTGGTTTCCCCGTCCTCTATTTCACTTCCTGAAATGGCGGACAAGAAAAACTATGAGATAAACTTAGTAAGTAAATATGGAGTGCCCCTTATTAAACTTATAGCATGCCAACATGTGCAATCATGCAAAACGGATACAGTACGGGAACAAAATAGACGTCTCCTCTTAGGTCATGGCCAGTGTATTAAACTTCCCACTGGCAGGCACACGATTTACTAGTGTATAATCCCCACTAGCAGGGTCACTTGTACGAATCGGTTCTATTACTAACATATCGACATGTGCCGACATGTGCCGACATGTGCTAGCGTTTAACCCCCACTAGCAGGGTTACAATAACATATCGACATGTGCCGACATGTGCTAGCGTTTAACCCCCACTAGCAGGGTTACAATAACATATCGACATGTGCCGACATGTGCTAGCGTTTAACTCCCACTAGCAGGATTACAGAAACATATCGACATGTGCCGACATGTGCTAGCGTTTAACTCCCACTAGCAGGATTACAGAAACATGACCACATCGGAGACAAAACAGGCTGAAGTTAATAGAAAAACATAATTCACCAATCACTTTTAGATCATTAGGACAATCAATTAAATTCCAAGTAGACATACTCAATTTAATAAAAGCATCAAAATCTCATTTCAAATCAATCATACTCATTTCTATATAAAACGGGTTTAGTCCCGCCACCACTTCAGAAACAAATCAAAACATACTTTTAAAAACAATACGGGCATTACCATAAATTTACTTACCTCACTCGCATAAAACCGAGCACTCAATCTCAATGCTAACTGACAGAACGATCGAGAACCTAATCAAATATCCGAGAATCAATACCGTACTATCACAAATTCACACTAAAATCATCATTAGGATCATTCCAAATCACAATGCTATTTCCATAAATCTCCACGTGATCAAATATCTCCAAAATTGTTCTCATATCACAAACTAGTCATTTAAATCCCCGTTAATTGTTGACCCTCGGTGTGTGAACAGTACTCATGAACAGTAACCACTATGTGAACAGTAACTCTACTTCCACAAATTGGCCAAAACACTAACTAATTCACGGGATTTTCTCCAAAAATCACATAGCAGTCAATTAACACTCAATCATATAAATCCCACTTGAATTAAGCTAACTCATGGTCCTAAAGTTACCGGAATTCATCCCCAATTTTTCTGTCAAATTCGGACAACATAGCCAGCAAACTAAATGGATAATTTAAGCCTTAAAAGGCTGTCACATACCATAATTCTCCAGCTGTAGAAACCGGAGCTGCAGGGGGAAGAAGCCGGCAGGAAAGGAAGAAGAAAGCTCATGGGCTACCCAAAAATCGGAGAACCAAAGAGAAATTAAGGCAAACCCAAGCCAATTCAAGAAAGAACAAAGGAATTAGGGGCTGTTCTTACCGAAAAATCAAAGCAATTTGCCCCCACAAAGCAGGAGCAGCCGGCGGTGAAGAGGAAGAGCAGAGCAGATCCAGATTCTCCGGCAGGGAGGGGAAGATTTCTGGGTTCCAAAGCAGGTTCTTGGATAAGAAAAGAAGGGAAAATCATCAAGCTTTACCGGTTTCTCAAAGCATGGCTGGTTCCCCTTTTTTTTTTTCTCTTTGGGTGGCTGCAGCGGGAAGAAGAAGAGCAGAATCGGGAAATGGCTGGGGAAGAAAAGAAGGAAAAAGAAAAAGAAAAGTTAAATATCCATTTTGGTCCCTAAACTATTGTATAGACCTTTGATTTGGTCCCTGAACTAAAGAAATCCCTAATTTGGTCCTTGAACTATTGTACGGACTCTTAAGTTAGTCCCTAAACTATTGTATGAATATCCAATTTGGTCCCTACTGTTTACCACTGTTAAATAATAGCTCAGGGACCAAATTGGGACGAAATTGTAAATAGTAAGGACCAAATTGGGGGTCCATACAATAGTTCAAGGACCAACTTAGGCCAAATTATAAACAGTGGGACCAAATCGGGGTCCGTACAATAGTTTAAGGACTAAATCAGGGATTTCTTTAGTTTAGGGACCAAATTGGGGGTCCGTACAATAATTTAGGGACCAAAATGGGGATTTAACCAAAAAGAAAAGAAACTGATCCTTATCCAATTATCTTCCCTCTTTAAATCCCTCGACTTTTGAACATTTTACCATTAAGCCCCAAAATAGCATTTTTTCACAATTTAATCCCTAACTCACTTAAATATTCTAGAAAATTTTGGGGTATCACAGCAGTGCACGGAAGCTATTATAGTGATCATAATGATTGTTAGTGTTTTTTTGTTTTTTTTTTTTTTATGGAAATGATTATTAGTTTTAATTCAAATCTTATTTTATCTTAATATATTATAAAAATTGTTAGCTTTTTTTATTTTTAATAGATTTAATTTAATTTTTTAACTTTTTAAATTTAAATTTTAAATAAAATTTAACAATTTAAATGTATAACAATTGAAAAGTTTTTTTTTCTAATATAAAATTCTTGTTAAATGCTTTAATTTGATAAAAAAAAATTTAATTATCGTTTATATAATATACTAAATTTTTATTTGAAATTCATGTCCAAAATATCAAAAAGTCAAAATAAGTTTACTAAAAATATACGAAAGGAACAAATTTTTTAATAAATCGTGAATAAATATTTAATAAGTCTTTTAAAATTTTCAATAAATTTTTATTAAATATTCAATAGATACTAAAAAATAGACAGTAATTGGTAAACATTTTGATTTAACACATTGTACAATATACACTCATTAAACAATTATTAATTTATAATATGAAATTATAGATAGACAATTTAAAAATATAACAATGCATACAAGGTGTAGCAACCAATTGAATTCGTTATGTTTATATTATATTTTAATAGTTAAATCCTAAATAAATACTCAATAGGTCTTTCAAAATTT